CATTAGTAGATAGAAGTTTAAACCAAACTCATTAGTAGATAGAAGTTTAAACCAAGCTCATTAGTAGATAGAAGTTTAAACCAAACTCATTAGTAGATAGAAGTTTAAACTAAACTCATTAGTAGGTACAAGTTTAAACTAAACTCATTAGTAGGTACAAGTTTAAACCAAACTCATTAGTTGATAGAAGTTTAAACCAAACTCATTAGTAGATAGAAGTTTAAACCAAACTCACAGGTAGATAGAAGTTTAAACCAAACTCACAGGTAGATAGAGACATTAAAAGATTGCTTCAGTCAAGGTAGAACTTGTTGTAAAAAAATGAGTCTACATCATTTATAACTTGTATTTTAACAATCCAGTTTTGCCCACTAATTAGACTACAGCCAAACTGAACATGATGTTTAAAAAAGGTTTTACATGAACATCTGAGACTAACACCTGTTGTAATAAAAGGTTGATTTTTATTTTGAGTGTTATAATAGTCACATGTAGAAGTTTGAAAACAAATCATTAACACACGATGAAGAGAAGTTTGAGTCATCTTAATCATCACAGGTGAAAGAAGCTGATTTCGTCATTAGAAATAAAATATACAAGTTTAATTAATATTAACGAAGGAAATATTTTAATTATCAAGAGAAGTTGACATAAGTTTGTTAAGCTAGATATGGAATGCCTGTTTTGATTGATTCAATGTATTGTTCAAGCATCTTTGATTTTGTAATATATCACAACTTGATTGTAACAGAGGATGTACGCAGAGAGATTGTTTCTTTGTTTACTGATGTTATAGAGCTCAAGCACTGGGTTTCTTTTGATTACAAATGTTGACTTCAATGTCGATATCACGTCACTTGTCAACAACAGGTGTTTGCTTACATGCATAAACTAACATTGAATGTTTTAACAAACAATTTGAGATTTATAAAATATATTTATTAAAAACTAATAATAAATATACTGACTATTAAACAAGATATTAATTTATACAATGTATTGACCACCTACTAGAACTTCCATGATTATATCAGACTTTTACTGTTACAAAGTACTTCCACTAGAGAACAGTTATAAGATGTAACAAATGTATTACATTTTAATAGGTCATACTGAAATATAGAAACAGAACTCTAGCAGAGTACTGAAAAACAAATTATAATCAATAAATTAATACCAGGTCCTTAAAAATACACATGCAATCTAATAGTTTTTCAATCTAAATGGAACCTTAAGTCATGTTGAAAAATATAGTGAACTTTCAGTAGAAACTTTTACTATATATAACAGTACACATTCAAGGTTTCTGGAAGTGACGACAGAGGATCATCAGAGGTTATTGACACTGATGATCTGGTTAATCCAACCGATGAAGGACGACACCTTCACATAAACACCTGGTACGTCTTTCCGACCGCATCCAAATCCCCATGATACTAATCCGCTGAGTTCATAATAACCATCTACTTCACACACCAGGGGGCCACCACCATCACCCTGTACAAAAAGTTTTTTAAAGTCATCTTAGCTGATATACAAATAATTTAGCACGATAAAGTATTATTTCTTAAGTGAAAAATATATAGCTTTGTTCCAAGAAAATTGAAATACCACCACATAAAATAGTGAATAAAAAAATAAAACAGTTATTATAAAGAGTAAGAAACTCTTGCAACAAAAGTTAAATGTAATAGATTAAGTTTTTAACTACAAGCAGAAGGTAGTTGTATCCGTTAAAAACCTTAGCTTAAAAAAAAAAAAGAACAAATGCGTTGATTTGTCAACTGAGTATCTCGCCCAATGAGATTTAAATGGAGTAAACTTAGTCTCACGATGATGAATTCCTCATCAAAAAATAAGGATTGTTGAAGACAACCAGCATAATAAAAGGATTGAGAGGTTTATATTTAGAACTTAGAATATATTTATCATTATAAACTCCTGATTTATTAATTTGTAATTACAAACAAAACAATGAAAATACTAAATATTAAAGAAATAAAACACATGAATAACAATCTGAAGTCTAAACCAGCTTACAATCTCTGCACTGATTTATTAGAAACAAAACAGTGAAAATAGTAAAGATACAAAACATGACTAGTGGTGTAAAATATAAACCAGCTTACAATCTCTGCACTGATTTATTAGAAACAAAACAGTGAAAATAGTAAAGATACAAAACATGACTAGTGGTGTAAAATATAAACCAGCTTACAATCTCTGCACTAACTAATACAGTGATATTATCTAGGTTAACTTCTGTAAACCCCAACAAACAACTCCAATGAAACACTGGTTAGTATAAGGGAAATCCATTCAAAGATTTAAAAAAAAACAAAATTATGCTTTACCTCAAACAGATAACACTTCATAAACATAAAAAAATAAAATAACTTGGTGTTGCTTATAATATATATTTTTATTAATGTCAAATTGAATTTACATTTAGCTCAGCTCATAGTTTACAACATCATATTTTGTTCAGTGTAAGTTAGTGTTGGTTGTGTTTAATCACATTTTGTTCAGTGTAAGTCAGTGTTGATTGTGTTTAATCACATTTTGTTCAGTGTAAATCAGTGTTGGTTGTGTATAATCACATTTTGTTCAGTGTAAGTCAGTGCTGGTTGTGGTTAATCACATTTTGTTCAGTGTAAGTCAGTGTTGGTTGTGTTTAATCACATTTTGTTCAGTGTAAGTCAGTGTTGGTTGTGTTTAATCACATTTTGTTCAGTGTAAATCAGTTTTGGTTGTGTT